ATTAGTCCTACCGTCAAAGCTTTCAAGGTCGGTAAAGTTGTAGTTTCCAAGGAGATGCTTAACGAATACACGTCTCTTGGCCTCAAGAGGAACTTGCACGCATTGTCTACTTTTAGTATGCATTCCTTCAAGAGCTACTAGCAATCTTGAGACCCGAGATTAAGCAGCTGAGTGGCGTAAGTTGGCAAGCATAGGTAGAGAAGTCTTCCGCTTTGATTTTCATGAAGATTTATTGGCAACGAGACTAAAGTCCCAATTTGTCCGATTTAAATTTGGGTTTCTCATACGATGCTCTAATTGTGGATCAATTATTCTTCACGCTATCGAGCTGGCATTAAGAAAAAAGCAACTAACACGTGAGCGGATTAACGATCAAACTGAACCAGAACGATATTCGAGAATATAGCACAGGCAAAAGTTGCCTTGGTTAACGATGCTCTACCATGCCTCCTACGTGCCTGCATTTTCAAATATATATTCGTATCGAATATGCAAAGCGTGAATCAAACGATTTATCGTAGCTACAAAGAATTAAAACAAAGAAGACCGAACGTGTTTCCTAGTGGCTCGTAATGTCGATGTCATGGTCACAGATACTTATATCATGCGATTTCAGTCCACGTTTATTAGCAATGGAATCATTTCGCGCGTAACTCACTCGGATTGATATATCGTGTTGTTAGAAGAAATATCCACAGACTAAAAACTGGCTATGACTTGTATTACATTCAAAAAATTGTTTAAAAGAAAAATCCTATTTATTTAGTGGCTTTGGCATTACGTCATTGTGTAATTTCTTTCAATTCGTTCCATTTGCTTTATCAACCGAATTCACGCCAATACAAATCAATTTGCAATAATTAATGAAATACACAAATTAAAGTGGAAAGGTTGCTCAATATTCACTTTCTATGTGGTTTCCAACGTATTAAACCTCGATCGGTCATCGTGAACGCGTTTTTACTTAATAAGCGGACACGCTGACCAAGTCCAGTTGTAACAGTTATATAATATACATCGAGGAAAAGGAAAAAAAGTTATTCAATGAATCGATTAACTTGAACGCTATTACGATTGTTGAGGTTCCAAGAACGGCAAGCATGCTACGCAATTATTGTGGAAAAATCGTCAACGTCACACGATTCAGAGAGAATCTTCCGTTGATAAAGCAATCTCAGTGATGCCAGCGAGCGAATCCAATTATGAGATGTCTTAATTACAGCTATTACTTGCTTCTTTGCTAAATTATTCTTTATTGTCTGGTTCAAAAAACTGTTTTCAAAAAATGTGCTAATTATCTCTGTTGAACGATGATGTCTAGTCGAATGAATAGTAAGAAAAAAAAGAAGAAAGAAAAATTGAATGCACCGGCTGAACAGACTTGGTTTTCGTCGGTTTAACGCTGTTGCTGGGCGCACAAAAATACGTACGACAGACATTACGGTGAACGTGAAGTTTACACAATGTTATTACGTAAGACAGACGGTCGTGTCACAATACGACCCGACATCCCAGAGCTGGAGGTGTACGCGTACGTGTGTACGCCGTTGGCAATGAATCGGGACATCCGCATCCGCGTCTGTGTCGGGGGACATCCGCGAAATATCTTGGCGTGGGTTCGATAAAAATTCACGTGAACTAATAAAACGGTCAGCAACACGAAACGTAAAGTCTGTATAGCATAAAATGACAATTTCGCGGAAAATTTGCACGTAAAATGTTTGTTTTTAATTTTAGAAATTTTAATAATAGCAACCCTTAAGAAGATAGTTTGTAAATTTTTTAGAAAAAAATTATTGATTCTCTATGTATCCCTACTTTCAATTATTCGATTTTCCAAAAAATTAAATCATTATTTGATTACTGATTCCTCGAAGAAGCGGATTCACTTCTAAAAAACTGTCGAAAGAAAGCTAAGTGAGTGGAAAATGCGTGAGGGTCTTTACGTAATTTTCCTTTTGCTCGAGTTATGCAAATGACTGATAGGTTTACGTAACTGATTATCGAATAGGAAACTCGGTATGCTTTCTGGAGACGTTTAGTCCTGATGGCAACGAAATGAAATAACCGCGTTCTCTGTAGTTGTTTAAAGGAAGCTATTGCATCAACATAATTTCGTCCCGTTAGATATTTTTGGATTTCTCGGGAAGATGAGGCTGGCCTTGAATTTAGACCAGTATCGGGTTATCGAGCAATTGTGCGGAGCTTCGAGGAATTATATAGAGGCTAGTGTGTATTTGCGACACAATCGTTGACTAGTTTCAGAATTAAATGTTCGTTAGAAGTATCTTACATGCTCGTACCATGTGATGTTTCATCTGGGTGGTATGATTCGTCGAAAGAAGTTGCTCTATCTGCGCGAATTGCTATCCAAATATAATGATGGAAACTTTAAGAATGTACAGAAACCTTGCCAGACTATATTACGCGGTTGTAAAACGACATACGTCGTTGAATAGACAAAGCCAAATATGAAACCATGGAATTTAATTAAACAATAAACCTAGTACGAGTTTTAAACTGTGTCTTTTTGATTCAGGATTAGTAGAGAATCCTAGTAGTTTAAATAGATAAATGTCCATCAAGTAATTCAAGTTCAGCTAATTAAAGAATAATCGCTTCCTAAATTTAATAGTAACCGCGATCAAATGACAAGCCAGCTAAAAACAACTTCGAACAAGAGGGCATATAGTATTACGCACAGTTTCGCAAGATAGAGAATCATAAAATATTTGATTCACGGTCATACATCCGCATGGTGCTTCGTGAAATACTTAAAGATGAAGATCGCGTTTTCTTTTTTTTTCGTTTCAAGACCAATACGTAACGCCTCTCCGTCGAGATGTTACAGTTAAACGTTTAAAAACGTTGCAGCTTTCATTCCAGCGCGTTTCGAGCGAAGCACACGCGTAACACGAGCCGCAGTGATTCTAGGTCACTTCGTAACCCACCTAACACACCCACCCCCGCGACAGAGGCAAGGGTAGCCGAGAGGACGATGGAGCTTGTCGAGGCTATGGTCAAGGCCCGCGGTTCGAATTCGCCTCAAGGCCCCGTGATATGGCTATCGATGGAAAGAGTGGCAGAGTAGTTGCCATAGAACTAGAAATAAATCTTCCGGCAGTGCGTTCTATGCGCTCGCGCGTTCGCGTATTGACCCATACAGCTGCACCGACTTGCACACGGATATTATTTCGCGCGCGTGCAGTCAGGGCCACGGTGACCTTAACTACTGCCTCCCCCCATCCTCCCGCCTGCCCCTCGTGCCACCGACCCTCCGCTCACCCCCGCCGAGTAACGTTGCACGGCGGATAAATGCGGAGTGGTGGCGGGCAAGGAGAGAGGCACGTGCCACCGATGACGTCACGTGGTGTGCATTGCGACGCGGTGCAACGCCGGCGCCGGTTCTCGCGGCTAGAGATCTAGGTCCATGCGGAGGCGTCCGTCGTGCTAGCAAGGTTCTGCGCAGACGCGCATGGATGCTGGTATAGGAAACGGATATGTTCGGATACGATCCAACTTTTCGTGGTGACGAAAATCACGAACGACGAGAAAAAACGCGCCACCGGAGGGGCGATGACAGGGGCGCGCACCTGAATCGGTCCTATAATTCGATCTCTTCGACTTCCTGTCTGTGCGAATACTCGATTTGTTGCGAAACTTGAGCGACCAAGCATCTGACCTATGTTCGAACTGAATGAAAGTTATTCGCGTTCCTCCCTAATTGGAATAGCTTGGGGACACTCGATGAGTGTTAAAAATACTGACTGGAAGGGGCAAGGTTACGGGATGAAACTCCAGCAGGTCACTCCAATTAACATATCGCTTGATAAGCATCAATTTGACACACCCCGTAATATTCATTTGTTTGAAAGTCAATTTTTTGCACAATTGAGTCAAGGGAGTTGTTATAATAATACGAAACGAGGAAAAGACCTTGAATCTCTCTTCCGCCTCCAATTGCGTATCGCAGACAAATTTCATCGAAAGCTCATGTTGCCGCGATAACATCAATGCCACCACCTATCGAATGCAAACATATAAGCACCGCCGTTATCACCAGGATTACTGTGTGTTATATCGAGGAAAATAGATAGAGAATGCATAAAGAACTGCCCACTATAGTGATAATTCCCTTTGGTTACGTCGACGATCAAAGGATATTAGCTCCGCCTTGGATTGCTATCACATGGGATCTACGATCCATTTCCTACCCACCCTCCTCTTCGACTCTTCACGAACGTTTACATGGGAAGGAATATTTACTTTCTTGCCAGGTTTAATCGAAAAATTAGCAGCTTCATAACCAAGGCCGTTGAAGCTGCACAGATATCTTTGGTTCGGTCAATTAGGTCAGGTGCGCGCGGAGGATACGCTTGTAGTCAGTGAAAGTGCCACAGCTGGTCATGGAGCTGGTCGAAAATTATGCGCCACGGCTGCATGCTTGGTGCACGGCTCTCGATGCCGCGGTTACCACGCGGGGAATCCAAACGGTACTTTGACCGGGTCGCGTTCTTCAAAGCCGGCAGATGAATGGGCCGAAGTCGACTTCGCGGTCGGTGAAAGTAGCAGGAACCTTCGGCTAACTGGGTTACGAACACTTTTCGCGCTCTTCGGGATGTTACTCTTGGCATTTATAAGTCGGACTTGTAAAAGGATGAACTACTAGACGCGCTCGAAAGTTGATTGACTTCGGTGATTGGTTTTTAAGCGTAATGGAAGAAGATGAGGTTTCGAATACCGTAATGATAGGCTGTTAGAATCATTTTGATTATTATCCTCATATGATGATAGATTGTTAATAGTTTTTAGTTAATCTATCAGGAAAGTTCAATCGTGTTTTGCGAAAACAATCGACCTTGCCGTTCGATCAAAGAAACTTTACCTGCCTAACCACTTAGTTTAAAATTGAAAATATAGATTTTTGTTGCTTGTAATATAATGATACCTGTTTTCTTCACAAGAATTTCGAATACAAAAAACAGAGGAGTCAGACTTACCTGTTCGCTTTCGTAGATCGCGCTGTTTGCCACTTCATTTTCGATCGGGTCGTGGTTCACTTTCGCTCGGATCTGGAAAACCATAAGGGGAGCGCCTTAGCAAGGTGGTAGACCTTCGTGGGGCTGAGCTTAGCTATTTTCGTACCCCGCCGAACCGATTTTCCGTCGACATGCTCGCTCGACTCGTACCTAAGTTTAGAGTGCGGCGATAATACCTCAAGGTTTAACTTGTTAGCCATCTTACGAAATACCGAAAATCGCCGCGCGTGTTTACATCCTTGGCTCGGTCGACGCTTATGTCATCGGTGTGGACTTGGCATACGTCTGAGTCGTACTCTTAGCCTATGCATTTGACCGCTCATTAGCTACCATCTGTGTCTTCTCATCTTCGAAACGAACCAATTATCTAACAACGAACGATTAACGACCTAAAATCTATCTGTATATAAGAGAAGCTATAAACTTGTACACTCTGCCATTCGAATACCATTTCATTGATTAATGTTTCTATATTAACAGAAGGAAGGTTCGAGATATGTTTGATCTAACAATTCTCACATTACGCGTTAACCCCGAAGCACGCGAACAGACTCGTGACTCATACTATATATGCAGAGGCAACATTTCTTGCCGGTCAGGGCCGATGCTCATGCCAAAATCTTTCGCGAACGATCCCTCGTCCCTGCCTTCTTTCCTTCCTGTCGCGTATTCTGATTACTAGAAGCAGGATCGATAGAGTTACAAATCGTTGAAGCAGTCCACGTTCCTTTTTAGAAAAATGTCATGTAATGTTGTGAATCCGTGAATGCAACTCCACACCGATAGTAGTCTGACCTTGCCAACCCCGAAGATTACATCAAGGTTAGCGCTCACACGTTTATGTTCTTTGAGGTTCACCCCGCTCGTGACTTGCGCTAGCCACTTACGCAATCCGCCGTTTTTATCAGCCTCATTGACGTTAATTAAATGTAAGTCTCGAATGCGGAAGGAGCTAAGTTCGGCCAGATAAGTTTGCCACGCCTTATGAGGGATTTAATTGTGCGTTCCAACTGCAGTTGCGCAGTTGCGATAACCTTAGAGTTCCAAACGAATCTCAAGGGGGTTCACTATGATAATACCCTGCTCACGCAAACCGTCTACTTTATCGACGTTCCCTAGCCTCGCTCTTTTATACAAATCATTTGTCTTCGTTTGAAATCAGACGCCAGCTCGATTTTACTAAGCATAGATCTCGCGACCGCATAGGGTTCCCGAAGATTAAGGTCAATGAAGACTTAGGGAACGAAGCTGCTAAGAGCGTTGATGAAACTTCAATGAATTACTGGTTTTACTCGAGAAAGTCAACGAAATAAATACGAATAACTAATTTCCATTATAAAAAAAAAAAAAATCATCCTCAAAACAATCGAAGCTATTGACAAGAGAACAAAGTATAAAAGACGAACAATTATCCAATATTAGCGATAATGTTCCCCGAAAACGATCTCTGTTAACGGTTTAAATATAAATCTGACGTCCGACGACCGCGTACACGTCACGAACGACGCAGACGAGAAATAAAAAAAGATTAAAAAAGAAGAAGAGAAAAACCTTCGTGGAATTGCGAGGATGAAATGACAGATAGTCGCCTAGGCTACCCGAAGGCCAAGTTCATCAGCTATGGAATTAGCATTGCAACACAGCGCGAGAGGTGCACTTGAATTTATCAGATAACCCGATAGCCACCAGGCCATCGCAATCGATCGATATCGCCCAGCTTGAAATCTTCCCGGCTTGTTCTAACCATCCTTACCTTCTTTTTGCGCGGGTGTTGTTCCTCGAGGTAATCGGGCACTATACCCTCGTCCAGGGTGGTAGTCGAGCCGGGGGTACTACTCGACGACGAGCCAGACGCGTTGTAAGGGTAGTGCTGCTGATTGTGCGAAGGATGAGCCGAAGTCGGCCATAAAGACCCTGTTGTCGGTGCTCCTTCGTCGCTCAGGGGTGGACTAGGGGTGCCACTCCGCCATGAAGCCCCGCTGCTGCTGCTGCTGCTGCTGTTCGACGTGCCACCAACACCCGGTGAGCCGACCACCACGCCGCCACCCCCTCCTCCTCGCCCTCCCCAGGAACCTTATTACGACAAAGCAGACAGACTTTTAATTAATTCACATGTCACGTAGATTGCTTTATTTGTTCACCACCAATCACTTGTGGTGGTCGATCCTTCAGGGTGGAATGGGGTAAAAGCGAATTTTGTCCGTCGTCTAAATGAATGCATACCCAGATCGATATGAATCATGACGATTAATTGAACGTCATGTTTGTTCGTGGTCGTTGATGATTAGATAGGTATTGTGCCAGACGTTGTGGCACTTTGAAGCTTCGATTCGCGTTACTCACCGATTGTGGTAATCTTTATAGAAGTAATACCAGGGTTTTTTATTGTACGAATTGTACTTCAGCTATAAGCAACTTTGGAAATCAATTAGTAATTTCAGTCACTTTTTACGACAATGATTTCATAACGGTTCAACGCACAAAGTCGCGATAAAATGAAACAGCAAGCTTGCTTGGAAATAAATCGTCAAGCATGGGTTAAGCGTTCACCACGTGATACTGACCGTAATTGTGCTGGCAGTGAAGTGGCAGGGGATTATGAGGACTGTGTGGCGAGCAGGAAAGCGACATAAGCACCAGTGCAGCGGTGCATTCGTCCATGCAGTCGCCCCGCTCGTTGGTACGGCAACCCTCGCGACCGCACCCATGGGGTATCCTATCGCTCCAACCGCTGTACGACCGTTCGGAGTCGTTGCTCGAGCTAGGTCGTCGTTTCCTGGACCTGAAATGGTCGTAATCGTATCTTAGATCGATTGAATTGCCCCTTCTCGAGTTTCGTATTGTAGGAGTAACTACAGCAAGTGGTATGTTTAATGAAATGTAGAAAACTAGTCAGCAGAGAATAGAAAAAAAATTCATTGAAGTAAATACAAGGTTCGAGTAGGTCAGGATTGTAAATTGTATTTAAGGATTTTTTGGGGAATTATTTTTTATTCGAAGTTTATAGAAGTGACTGGATAATCATTAAAACATCTTCATCGATTAAGTCATTTGACGGAACCGTTCCTTGATTATACTGTTAATTGCATTGTTCGTTTCATTGAAAATTCGTATATTACTTAATCCTGTACATTATTTCAAAGCCACGTTACGACATTGCTTGTCATAAACACCGCATAAACTATCAATTTGACGAGAATGAAAAACACAACGAACGTTAGGCTTGGTCATGTAACGTAACTGAATTAATGGATGAGTGTGCACGTTTTACAAGAGGAAGCGCTCTTTTTTCTCGTGTTTCCCCCCATCTTTAAAGAGGAACCTACGCGTGCCTTGACAATAAGAGCCTGTCACCTGTAAAAAGCCGAGCAACAATGGATGGCTGCCGGCCGTTCTCGGAATTTCTCGCTTCTGCAATTACGTAAAATAGTGTTCTGCCAGCCGATATTCCGTAGGTCGGTCGTTGTACCGTAATGTTCTGACGGACGACGTGCAGTGAATTATACTTTTTTCCGAGAAAAGCTGTAAAGATGCCAAGATAAAACCCTGCGCAAAGTATACGGACTCGTCGTACGTTTCCTGGATATCTGCAAGGTTCATTTTCGATCTTGAACCATCGCGTTCCTCTTTGTTCGACCACGATCATTTAGAACTATTTCGCGAAAATGATGAATTGTTGCGTTATGAATATCAAGATTTTAGTCCTCTACGTTTTAAGTTTTATATTTAAGCTCGATGTATGGACGAGAAACATCCCCTGATAAAACGAACTCGACAGTAGATCGAATGTTCGTCGCAGGATATTTGACACCGTGTGATCGATAGAAACCCTGACTTTCTAGGAAATTACGGGGTAAATTTTCCTCGTTATCCGTACTGATCGGGTATCAATTACTCCAACGGAATAATAAAATCGATATAGATTGTCAGACGGTCCCAAGTCATAACCGTATAGATAGCTGATATCGTATTTTCGAAACAGATCATCGTGACAAAGACTCATCGACGTTAAAGAGCAACTTCGAGGCGAGTCCAATTGCAGGCGAAAGAAAAACCGTTGCGAAATCAAAGAACGAGCCAGCAAAGATGGTTCTCGCGGACTTTCTAGAAACCCAGCCACCAGGTTTCACCTTCTCGTGAGCCTCTTTCTCTGAAACTTTCATGGCGGCCTATTCGGGTCTTGCTGGTCGAGCAGCAGGCATACGGAACAGAAGGTGGGCTCCGTTGTCGGCAGGCTGACACGTATGTACGCGAAGGACACACGGTGTACCAGTGTAATATATATCTCTTTCTATGCCTTTCGGCGGGGAGGGGTGACGAGGGGAAACGACGCGTAGTCAAGGCCGCCGCGCCGCTTAGTCGTTCCGCTCGGACCGGTACCATCGAGAGTCGAAAGTGAAACGTCGCGTTTAGCGAGCACACCAACGGGAATGACGCACGAACTAGACGGTATTTCGAAAGTAATACCTCCTCCCCCTCCTCGTTCGTAGAGTAGGCACCGTTGCTGTCCCGCTTTTCGATTCGAAGGCTGAGCGCATGAAAGTCCAGCCCCGGACTAGAGCTGCCAATTGCTCGATAATTGCCGTCGAATTGCAACAGGTATAAAGTAGAAGGTAACGAGGGAGAAAGAAGAGTTGTGTAGCTTGGAAATAGAGTCAGAGTTACGGGAAAAGAGAAACGGTGGACCTAGAGAGACCATGGGTGGTACCGTTAAGATAACTGCGAAGCAGAACCAAGAATTCGTTCCGTGGTAATCGTTGGAACTGGTTTAATTGCAACAAAACATTTTGAAAGTTTCGGTAGAAAATAATGATTTACAGAGTTCAGTATACAAAGAATCGTTGTTGTTTAGTCGCGTTGACGAACGTTCAGTGTTAAAGTAGTTGTCGTGGTGAAAAACCGCTTATCCCGGCTGTTGCCGCTCTAATTAAAGAGACGCTGAGCGTCGTGCGGGTCGACTAGCTGGCAAAGACGCTCGGTAAAAACGAAAGAGAAAGTAAATTGCCCCGATAGCAATGCTCCCGATACTTAGTCGCCTTGTACTTGGTCGCGAGAGTCAATCGACGTAGTCAAGGTGGACGGGGATAATCTTCTAACGTCGTGTTTTCTCCCTTTTCTTTTCCTTCGGCACTCGCGTTGCGTGCTAATTGCGCGGCGAACGAGCCGGCTCGAAGAAAGAAAAAAATTGGAGCGTGAGAATACCTGAGTTTCGATCGATCGTTCCCTTTCAAAAGATTTCGCGCGCTTTTTCGCAATTTGCATGCACGTTGCTTTTTTCGAAAGTTAAAAAGTTTAATAATTTAACAATACATTATTACTACAAATTTAATGTTGCAATGAATTAAAAAGAAAAGTAGCAGAATTAAAATGTTTAATCCGATGCTTATCTTCCTAAGCAGGCACTGATTACGTACTTCATAGTATTTTACAATTTGTTAATGAATAGAAACTGAGAAAGTTAACACGGAAACTAGTTAAGTATTAATTTATTACTGAATAAATAATATCTAATAAGTCAAGTAAATATTAACTTAGTATTTAGAGTTCTACTATGAATCACTGTTCTAGCCTCACGGCTATGAAGTGTTTGATTATGCAATTCATTTAAATTGACTCCATTAACAAGTTGCATTGTAATGAAATTCAATGATTAAAAAAAGCTAATTTTCAGCACGCGTGTTTAGAGATCGGGCTCATATCACTGTAACCTTTGCTTATTACTGCCCAACTAAAATAAATGCTTACTACGCCCTCTAATTTATGTCTACTTCAAGTTCCAAACATACCGCAACTCAAGTACCTCCATGTACTTCATATACACGCACAACCACTACCTACATGGATACACGCGATTACAAATGTGTTACGTACAGTATGCGTCGCTTCATCTTCGATCTATCTGTCCCGCAGCGATCACGTTGATCCTACTAGACGGTGAGAGGCGGGCGTAAAGAGGAAAAGCTGTTCCGTGTCCGGGTTCCGGAGTACAGGATCGCGGTTGGCCCAGATAACACCGTGATAATGCACTTCGCGTTATATGGGTCGGGAAACGCGTTGATCCATATTTTGCATCGGCTCGTGGATGGACAAGTAGGTCAGCGACTCGTGTGTATGCCACGCGAGAAACCAAGAAGAGTGTGTGTGTCGTTGGCAGCCGGCCGGCCGGTCATCTCGTAGCCCTCCCAAGCAGATCCTCTCTCTACTCGCACAAACCGGCTTCCAGCACGCGTCGTCCAAGGGTGCACCAGCCACCGCGTGAACGAGCCGGCATCTCTTTTGCAAGCGTAATCGAGAAACACGCGACTGATCGTGTGCCGCTTGGTGAGATCGCGTGCGCAACGGGAACTCTTCTCTCTCGGCTTCGTCGAAAATGCGGTCGGTGGAAAACACCGCTTGGGGGAAGCAGGAGAGACACGAAACGGGTTTTTCCCGGCGTCTAGGCGCACGAGGATGACCTGCACCCCATAAGGCACGCGTGGCGAGTGCATCGATCCGCTTCCATAACGCGATATCCGGGTTACAGAGCCAAACACGACGGGGTCAGTTGAGTGGATACGGGAACTTGGTAGCCGGCTACCGACTGGCCTCTATCGAGCGACCTGATTCTCCACCGCAGGACAACCCGGACAACCTGATTTCGACTACGACCCTATTCGCTGACCCGATTCCCCCGATTACGCCGGCTTGGAATTTACGACCGCGAAACGGAGGTCCCCTCCGTTGCCTCCGTGTCCTCTGCCTCGCATGGGGGTTTCAGTAAATCCGGCCTGCAGCGCGCAGCGGGGCTTACGAATCGATGGAAACGCGCCCTAAATAGAACTGTGGGGCTTACAACGATCCACAGGACGTGTAAACATAATTCTGTTCTTTTTATTGGGTATAAGTTAAATATTTGAAGAAAAATCGGAAGTCTTCTGAAATTTACACGTCTCTTTACTTTTCCTTTCGAACAAGTACTACACATGTCGTGTCTTCTTTACAGGACTGCTAGAAATCGTTGTATTATTTGAATCGAGAAATACTGATAGAACAGACTTCTTATCTCTAGATCAACATCCTCAGACAGAAGACACAGCCATTAATCAGGCACGTCGCTTTATCAAGCTCGAAGCAAGCTCTGCTAACTCAATTTCTCTCATAATTGATAAATGGCAAAACTCGTTCAGAGTTTTCTGTCTTCATCGTCAGATACCATCTACTGTACACAAACCTCTAATTTAGTGGCTCTCTTTGTTCCCGAGAAATACCTCAACCACTGTTCATGTCGTATTCGCTGTCCAACGATTAAAACTCAATAGATCAAAATCCGTATGGAATCAAAAGCAGTGATGGATGAAATGGATCAAAAACCAATTACAATCATGGTCCTTCAATCTTCAATCTCAACAAACCCTACACCCCAAAGTGCAAGGTCATCCATTTAATCGCTTGTTCCGTGTTTAAAATCCCCCGACTCATCGTCATTGAAACAAAAGCGTTGCCCAAATGCAACGGTGTCCCCCGGCGGAAGAGTTTTAGCAGGCAAGGTCTTCGAAGTTCGCACCGCGTTCGCGCACGCTTACACAGGTATACGGTCCGTGTGCATACAGCGCATTGCGTCGGTGTTGGTGCACGTGTACTGCTCTCGTTTCATTGTCCCAGATTCGCCGGTGGATAGAGAGTGACCCACCCCTTGACCATTCGAAGCGGGAGAGGGCCAAGAGCGTTGTCACAGAGCCCTCTTCTTCTTCTTCTTCTTCTTCTGTTTCACCCCTCGAATATCCTCCTTCTTTTTCTACCACT